CTTAGAAGACCTGGTTCTTCTACCCTGTGAGCTGCAGGGCTGGAACTCAGCTTGTCAAGCTTGGTGGCAGGCATCTCTACCCACTGAGCCATCTGACCGGCCCAGAGATTCCTAATTTTTATCCCCGTCTTTAAAAAATGTAAGTATCACGGCAATGTTATAAATGAAGAAACTATAATAAATGGGAAGGACGGGAAAAATGTGCCATGGGTGCACTGTTCCTTAGAAACCACAAGACGTCACTGGGGGCACGTGACCCTTTATGCTTTTTCTTTTCCCTAAACTAGATGAAGGGATCTCTGACCCTAGTAGTATATGGTGGAACAAAAGTGGAAGAGTATGGATCATCTCTCCACACACAGAAAAAAAGCCATCCGGATCATCTTTATTTCTCAGATTCACAGGTGGTACTCCCATATGCTCTGTTAGAAATAAACTCACATTGAGCTACTTCCTGGTTTGTGTGTGTATTTAGGCCAGAAATCACCATCAGGAGTCATCCCCGAGAAGACTATCTACCTCCTTTGAGACAGTGTCTCTCACTGGCCTGGAGCTCACAATTTTCTCTAGGCTGCTTGGCCTGGGATCCCTGGGACCCTCCCACCTCTGTCCCCTAACACTTGGATTGCCTGCACACCTGTCAATTTGCCATGGATTCTGCATCTCAAACTCAGGCAATCACACTACCTGATGGGCCAACCTCCCCTCCTCACCCCTGAGCATCTCCTTGCTTGTTTGACAACCACCACGATCCTGGTGAGCATTTATACCTATTTTGGCACAAAGCCCCCACATCACACCTGTAGTTCTCTCTGGTTGGCTGTATTATGTAGAGTTATTATTATTATTTTTTTTAATCTGGTCTGTATTGTCAACAACCGCCGAGTTATCTCCTCAGCAGTAAGACAAAATACTCCTGAAGTGATGACAGATGTCACACACATGAATCCAGCATCTTGGAGATGTGAGGGAGCAGTGACCAGAAACAAGCGAGATCCTCAGCCAGGCAGAGTCCTCAGCTGGCCACGTGACTGTTTATATGCAAACATATACAAGAGGATGTTAATCTAATGGCCCTAATGACGAAGGACATTTATAGCGCCTTCCTTCACAGAAGTCCTGCGTGGCGCACAATTAAAGGCAGCCACAGACAAAAAAAAAAAAAAAAAAAAAATTCCTTTCAGCTGAGATTCATAAAAGGAAAGCAATCCAGCCTTTCTAAGCACCAAAGGAAGCCAAAGTCACTGGATGGTGTGTGTCACAGGGGGAGGCTATAAAATATCATGGCTCAGACCCCCCAATTCTTGCATGTTATATTTAGGACACTCAAACTGGTCTGAAGAAAGAAAACAAACGAAAAAGACACAAGCCCCCAAGCTACAGAAAACAAAAACAAAAGCAAGCCGCAATCTCATCCAAGAACCAAGTGAACCATCTCCATGCAAGGCTGTAGGAGGCCGTGGCCCTGTTTGCCTGTCTGTCAGATCTGGTAGTTTGGTGTGACTGGATTTGAAAGCCCAAGAAACAGAGGAGATTTGGGGTTGACATAAATAATCTCTGGACGAACCCCTGTTGCTTATTGGATTTAAGCGCTGCAAATGAGGACCCTGAGATGTCACTGCTTCCTGGTCCCAAGTCCATCTCACAGGACTGAGACATCTCCTCAGGACTCTGGAACCTGGGGAAGGGACTGATGACATGTTCCAAATGAGATGTTTTAAAATCTCCTCCCAAGAGGATACAAGCTGAGCCACTCCATCAGTGTTTACAAACCATGTTCCTCTTCCCAGCATGCCTGGCAAGGTTTCCTGATGACCTAAAAGCCAAAGGAACCATGGGTCCTTTTTCCGTGGGTATCCACAAGAGTAGAAATTATCAAGGCAGCATCCAAGATGGTGCCCTGGCCACTCTTCTCTGACCATCACTGGCACACAACAGGGAATTGAGACATACTGAATGAACCAGCTGAATGAATGAAGGAACAGTGGCCAGGCCTGCAGCAATCCCCAGTGCAGCAAACACAGCCACTGTAAAGCCATGCTGTGGCTTCTCAAATGCCATGCTACTGTCCAGAGCCTTGGAGGGCTTGTAATCACTTGGCATCGTATGTCCCTTTTCCTAGCCCTCTCCCTCCTTCCTTGCTCCCTACTGGTCTTCTTGTCTTAGGGCCTTCAGGCTTTTGGGCCCCCCACCTCAGCTACAGCCTCTCTGCCTGTCTGTTGATGACTGCCTCCCCTTCAGTCAATCTTAACTCAATGCTACTTTTTATAAGAATGGCCCCCAGGGTGTTCTAGGCCCTGGAGAGGCCGACTGCTACCTCAGGTGACAAAAGAGGACTTTACAGATGTGTAGGTGGTTCTAGCTGATCTGGGTGGGCCCTAAATGTAACTGTCCCATCACATGGGAAGTCAGCTGACCAAAGCAGCTGACATAATCATCAAAACAAGGTGCCCTGTTGTTTCAGGCCTTGAGATGGAGGAAGAAGCCAGAAGCCATGGAAGAAAAGGCAATAACCTGGGCCCCATCATCCAGGCTCTATTTCTCTGTCAGCCTAGTGAGCACCACTCAGGCCTTCATAACTGTGAGGGAGCCAGGGTGTGATGTCTGGCACCACAGAGTCATGGAAGGGAACACAGCAGCTTCCAGGAATCTGCACCTGAGAGGCCTTTCTCCCTCAGTGGATCTGTGAGGTCCAGACAGACCATTCCCAGAAAGCTACTGCTCCAAGCTCTTCCTAGCTGCATCCCATTCCCAGAGATCCCAAGTATTTTGCTAAAGTTGGGAAGAACACCTGCTTCAGCCCACTCATCCCACAGATGCAGAAACTGAGGCTCGGGCCTGCAGCTGGGCAGAAGGATGGGGGGTGTTGTCAATCAAATCCTTCCATATTGGTTGGCCCTTTGATGCTGTTTGGAGTTTTCAGCATGAGAAATTGTGCAGGCTGTCGACTGCCCTGCAGTAATTCTATAATGACCCAATCGTGAAATAATTTAGCCATCCAGATTTGAATTGTCTGCGGCTATCGTGACTGTATAACTAGCTAGTTATTGTTCATTTCCCGAGAGCCAACCATATGGCTTTACAAGGAGGCGAAGCTCAGAAATACTCGTTATCTCTGATGATAATTACTAAGCAATTGCTAGAACACACCATTGTGGATTTATCTAGAATATGCCAGATAATTATCTGGTCTTATGCATCCTGTAAAAATAAAACCAAGGTCCCCAGAATTGTTCTAGTCAGTTGGCTAGCTTCCAACAATCAACCTCTAACAGTCAACCATGTGAATGCAAATGATTGATCCAATTACTCAGCTATCTGGTTGCAAGTAGATCATTCAGATGGGCACACTTTAGGCCCAACAAGTAGATGGAGCTAAATGGGGGACACACTGAGCTCTCCCCATGATAAGTAGGTAACAACGCAATAACTGGGGAATAAGTGCTCCTTCTTCAGGGCTCGTCTGGCATCCTCACACAAGATACCAGATACTTCAGTGACAAATTATACATCCCAAAGCTGCCAGAGTTTTTTATTATTATTATTATTATTATTATTATTATTATTATTATTATTATTATTGTGGTGCCAGAAAAAGGCTGGGTGCTTTGTGAAATCTGTGGGTTGTTTTGGCACGTGGGGAGGGGGTTCAGAGTTCTGTCACAGAATGGAAGGCTGCAGCACAGCTGGGCTTGAGGGATGAACAGTACATATTCATAATGGCCACTCATTTTCTGAGGCTGCTAATAGGGTCTGTATGATGTGCACTGAGCCCCTCTTTGGGAAGCAGTGGGATGACAGAAAGAATGGGTCCCCCAGACTTGTATATTGCAAGTGCGGGGCTCTTGACTTCTGGGAGAGGAGAAGTTGCTTCCTGATGAGCGAGAAGCACAGACTGCAGAAGGGGGGGTCACTGAAGAGGGCTGTAAAAATGACCATCTACGACCATCCCTACAGAGTCTGCCATTTAGAGAGCATCTTTCTCCATAACTTGAATCCAGTTGACCACATGAGATGCTCTGGCTAATGGATGTCAGCCACTGCGTGACCAGAGGAAGTGTAAAAAGAGCCTGCACATTTAACCTTTGACCCCTTGCTAGGAGAGACCTAGCTGGAGGCTATGTGAAGCTGACAGGATAACCAGCAGCAGGTGGGTAAAGAAAGGCATCTACAAGTGACCAGGTCCCCAGCATTGCCAGCTGACCACAGCCACACAGTGGAGTCCAGCCACAGTAAAGGACTCAATCTAGAGCTGTCTCCAGAGGAACAGAGGGAAGCCATTGAGCTACCATGTAGTTCTTCACTCAGTATCAGGCATCCATAGCCGCATCACAAAAGCCTGCTCCCTGAATTGATGACTTAAGAGCCACTTCTGTCTTAGGTAGACATGAGAGCTGGTTTAAGGAGAGCTGTCAGCCTCTATCACAATCCCCAAGTTTCAGAGGTCCTGGTCATCCCACCATTTGCATAATCAATGATGACATGATAATTCTCCACCAACGTCTAACAAACAGACTCAAGGGAACAGACTGAACATACACCACCTTTGTCCAGCATGCGGTCCCTGCTCCAACACCTTCCACGATGGAGGACAAAGCCATCCAAGACGCTACTGCTTGACTTGTGTCCTGGAATATACATGCATACACGGAAGCTAGGCGGCAACCTTGGCTGTCATTTCCCAGGCACCTTGTTCTTGTGAGGCAGGATCTCTGGGATTTGGGGCTCCTTGAGTTTGGATTATAAGCATGCATCACCACACTTAGCTATTTTTTTTTTTAATCTACATCCTGGAATCAGACTTAGATATTGACTGACCTATCTCTTCACCTTGTGTGTGTGTTCACATGTTTGTAGGTGCTCATGTCTATGATTTTAAATGTGTGTGAAGGCCAAGGTTTTACTTCAGGTATCATCAGCCATTTTCTTAAAGCTGATCTCTATTAACTATCCTCCCCCCACCCTGCCCCAACCTCCTGCAGCTCACGAATGCAGGATACTCAGAACAGTGGCAGTAACAGCTCCACAAACACTCTAAAACATCAAGAGCCACAATCATAGTCAGTAGCATCTCAGATTAAACTATGGGGAAGATCTGGCCCACCACCTGGGTTCATAAATAAAGTTTTATTGCAACACTGTCATGCACATTCATCCATATATCGTCTCTGGCTGTTGTTGTGTGACAGTGGCAGAACCAACTTCCTAAGGCAGAAACTGTAAGGCCTGAGAGGCTGATTCACATATCCCAATGGGCATGTTACACAAGCAGGCTATGTCTAAAGCAATCCACTCATTTTACATAAGGAGACACAAGCGTCAGAAATGCACCCATGCAGGGTAGAGTCAGGCCTGGCTCCCTATGATTGTGAGTGGGCCATGAAGACCTGAAGATACCACTAACATGAACAAAGCCCAGAGAAGCCCCCATCTGAGTGGAAGGGACTGACCTGGTGATGATGGCCAGGTGGGGTGGGCTCATGCAGGCTCCCATAAAGAGCACCACGTTCTCGTGCCTTGTCTGCCTGTAAGCCATCACTTCCCGCTTGAAGGCCTTGAGCTGGTCCTCATTGTCCCTCTCAATGTCAATCAACCGGATGGCCACCTCACCATGCCAGCGTCCGTGGTAGACCTGCCCGAAGCGCCCCTTCCCGATGAGCTCGCCGACCTCCAGCTGCTCAAAGGGGATGTCCCACTCCTGAAGGAAGATGCTGGTCTGGCTGGCCTTTCGAGGGAAGCTCCGGGCTGAGAGCAGCGACAGGTTCATCTCCTCAAATTCATCCTCAGACTCCTCTGCTTCATCGTGGCCCTCTTCATTCTGTGGCCAGAAAGGAGAGAGGTCAGTGCCATGGCCACCCCGGCTCCATCCTCCCTAGGGATCTGTTGGGTACTCTGTGTGCTGTGGAGAGCAGGACATACTTCCATATTTCCATATGTAGACACAGCTGTTTCCCCAGCTGTCTGTGAATTAGCATCAAACCACAGTGAAGGACTTACCGGAGGGACAAGGTGGCCCACAGCCTTGTGCTAAGAGAGGAGAAAAGCTGAGGGGACCAACCATTCTAGTTTGGCTGGACTTTCCACATTGAAAGCAGCATGTCCCAAGACACCTGTCAATCCTGGGCAAACTGGGATCTTGGTCACTCCAAGAGGTCTTCACTTTGGATCACAGCCAAGCAGGACAGTTTAGATTCAGGTTTCTGAATCTCTGCAATCCAGTCTACCATATTGGTTTTGACTCGCCTGACAGTCTGTGTATGACAGGAACAGCAGGCTAAAAGATGGATGTGCTGCTGTGTCTACATGGGACATGGGACAACCATCAACATGGGCTGTCTGTCAGCTTCATCCGGGAAATTTGGAATTGATTCAGAGATTGGCAGAGTTCACAATTCCAAGCTGTGTGTCTTCCAAGATGTCCTGATCTCCACAGCACACATGTCTCCAGGTAGCTGGGAGACAGGAGAGCAGACAGCCCCAATGATGAACCGGACATTCAGAGCCGGTGAGCTGGCCTCTGGCCTGTGCGATCTTGGGAAAATTGGTCTGTCCCTCTGAGCTTTCCTTATCTCACTATGAAGTGGAAGATAAAAATTTTCCCCAGGGGGTGGTGTGAGGTTTTAAATGAGATGATGAGACCTGACGTTCCCAGCACCAGCCTGGCTACCTGCATCAAACATCCCCTGGGATGCTGGAGCAAAATGCAGATTCTCAGGCCCCCACCTAGATCTACTGGGTCAAAACATCCACGGGTCTGCAGCAAGACCTGCATTTTAGCCATCTGAGTCTTGGGGTTGTGATCAATCAAGGAAGAATGCCTAGGCGTTGCTGGTGTCTATGCTTGGGGATGTCTTGTCTATTGGATTCTTTTCTAACATGGCGGGGGAGGGGAGCAGATGTCAGACGCAGTGGGCAGTCCAGAGACCCTGGAAAGATGACTTCAGAAAGTGCCCTCTTCAGTGAACCCCAAGTCTATGTATGAGCTGGCTCTCCATGACACGGAGGGTGATCAAGCCAGGAAGCTTCGGCTACAATTTCAGAAGGGGATGTGGCCCTCTTTCCTGGAGCCCTGCTTCCAGCCCTTTCAGCTCAGAGCACGAGATGACAGGCCCAATGGCCTTTCCCCGGGCTGTTTCTTTACTTCCTCAGCAGTCTGCACAGATGGAAGAAAGCCCAGAACCTCCTCACTGTGCTGCCAAGCCAGCATCCTTGGGGTTCCCACCTGCTCCTGTAAGTTATTTTGAAGGCAGTGGGGCACATCCCCCCTCACGGTTCCCCCAGCCCTGAGCTAATTTTTTACCTAACAATGCAAATCCCAGGCCAATTCCCATCCAACTGGCTCTGCCGGGATGCACACAGCAGAACGGCCCATTAGGCTCAGCGCCTGGAGGGGCTATGGCCCTTAATTGTCCTAGAGTGAGAGCATCCATCAAACAGCCACCGTACCCTGTCTCTCCACCCCCAGCCCTCTGCAGCATCCAAGGCATGAGGAGGTTTTGCCAGTCTCTAGCAAAAGCCACTTTCCGAACTCCAATTCTCACCTCGGAGGTTGGTTCCACTTCAATTTGAAGTAACGGATTTCCTTCCAAGCTGTAAATAAGAGGGGGGGAAAAACACTTGTCATCCTTAGAACCAAGTATTGAGGTGAACCATGCTCAGGAGTCCAAGATGGTATGGGGTGTCCCCAAAACCTTCACCTCCCGTGTCATTTCAACACTTGCATTCCAAACGATCCACAGCTGAGCGCAGAAAGAGCTCACGCAACCATTATTTTAAAAGAAGTTCTGGTTTGCTCGGGGCTTGCTTCCCTTTTTGCTTCATCCTTAACTGGTATAGCAGCCTCCTTTTAAATAGGGAAAATGCCACAGGTAAGCAAATCCTCAGAGGTCCAAATGTACGTTGGGAAAGAATAAATCACGTTTCTAAACTTGAGGGTCAGAGTCTGCTAGGTGGGTCTTTAAAAAAAGATTTAGTTTAACTTTTAATTGTGTGTCTCTGTGTGGATGTGCACAAACGTGTGATACCTGTCAAAGCCAGAGAGCAATTGGAGTTTCATGGGGTTAGAGGCCACCTGTTATGGCTGCTTAAAAAAAACAAACAGAAAAAAAAAAAAAAAAACTTGGCATACACTAGAGTTATCTGGGAAGGGGAGCCTCAGCTGAGAAATGCCTCCATCAGATTTTCCTACCGGCAAGTCCGTGGGGCATTTTCTTGATTAATGATAGATGTGGGATGGCCCAGCCCACTGTGCATGGTGCCATCCCCTGGGCAGGTGGTCCTGCGTTGAATAATAAAGAAAACAGAGCAAGCCACGGGGAGCAAGCCAATAAAGCAGCACCGTCCATGGCCTCTGCATCAGCTCCTGCCTCCAGATTCCTGCCTTGAGTTCCTGCCCTGACTTCCCTCAGTGACAGAGTGTGACCTGAGAGTTCCTCCTTGATCATCAAGTTTATCACAATAGAAATAAGACTTAACACGCTACAGAACACTGGTGCTGGGCACCAGTCTCAGGGGCCCTGCAAGAGCTTGGCAAGTGCTCTTGGCTACTGAGGGAGCTCTTCAGCCCCACCCCTCCACAAGGATTTTTAATATCAATACATATTTGTTTATTTTTAATTCATTCATTCCTTCATTTATCTGGAATTCTGCACCAGGCGTGTCTTTAAAAGGAGGCTCTGGAGTTGGAGACAGCACAGCTCCTGATACAAAGCTAAGTCTTTTTACTGCTGAATGGAGCAGGGGTGCAGGGCGGGGGAGGGGCTGAAAGCAACAAGCTCCAGCAGCTACCACTGACCTGAACAAACGGAGTGTTGTGGAATTCCCAGAAAGGAGATTCGCTGAGCACATGGGGAAGGTCATGGTTGTCCTGGTCTGATGGAATGGCCTCCTGTAGGTTTGTATGTTAATCACTAAGGAGTGGGACTATTTGAAAGGGTTAGGAGGTGGGGCTTTGTTGGAGGAAGTGTGTCACTGAGGATGTGTGTGCTCAGGTTTCAAACGCCCATGCCAATCCCAGGCTGTCTATCCATCTGCCTGCCTATCTGTGTGTCTGTCTGTCTCTGTCTCTCTGCCTGCAGATCTGAATGTAGCTCTCAGCTACTTCTCCAGCACGATGCTGCCATGCTTCACGCCATGATGGTAATGGACTAACCCTCTGAAACTGTAAGGAAGCCCCTGATTAAATCGATTAAATGCTTTGATGAGAGTTGCCTTGGTAATGGTGTCTCTTCACAGCAATAAGATAGTGACTAAGACAGTCGTGTTGTAATTCAGCTTGACCTATGTCACGGAATCAAGACCCATGGAAGGAAAACAAGAGCTTTTCTGGGTGGGAAGTCACAAGTGTGAATGTGTGTCATGTGTGCAAAGCTCAAAAGCCGTGGCTGTATTCTGTATAAAAAGCTATGTTCGTGTGTGGGCAGCGCAAGGGATGACGGGGCGTGTTGTCTGTAGGGTCTGACTTGAGTTTTGTGGACACCCTAAGGGTATTGGGGACACACTGTGTGTTGATGGTATAATCGTCTGTGTACCAAGAGTGTGAGGGCACCATCGAATGCATAGTTTTGTGATGGGGATGTGGGATACAGCAAGTTTATAGAGGTGCTTTGAAGAAGCTTTCTACACTTCATGATGTGTTTATGGAGCGCTGTGGTGACAGAGAAGGTTGGCTGCTGACAGCACACAAAACTCAGAACAAGTAGGACAAAGCCATCACCAGAGAAACCATGTCCCCTTCAAATTTCTCTGACAGAAGTTTAGCCAACTCCATGTTCCCATCCTATCGTGGGGGGAGTTTCCCCCTCAGATCTCAGGGAACTGCAGGCTCTGCTGACTGAGTCAATCTATATCCGTGCAAGAGCTAAACAGGAGAGGAAGGACCAGTGTGGGTGACACGTGTTAACCCACTATATATGGTATAGTCCTAGGAGGTAGGGCAGAAGTCTGTGGGGACACAGGAGTCCTTTCCTTGCCTAGCCATCCAGGGACAGCCCACTCCCTTCTGTTTCAAGGTGGGACTCCAGCTGCTCGGCTATTCAAAGACATCCCCCTGCAGTCTTCCCGCCCATCACTCCTCACACATTCAAGCATATCACAGGTAGTCCCCCACACCACTGCAGTGACTCTCACTGTCCTTAATAACTTGGAGTTCATCTTGTACCAACTGTGGGGCCGGTTTGTTAGCAGCAGAGGAATGACCTAGAGATCTAGGTCAGCAGAGTCCCTGCTGACAAGACACTGCTCCTCTGATTTTAGAGATGTCGGCTCTTCACAGAGTCCTAATGGAGGTCAAGTGGGATGGCACCATTAGGGAGGCAAGAAGAAAGAGCAGGCAGGCAGAAATGAGAGTTGGAAACTCCTCACATCTCAGCATGCCCCAGACTTTGGGCACAAGCACAGAAGCCAAAAGCGAAGGAGGGTGACCTCTCTGGTTGTCTAAGCAATGAGTGATGGATGCACCAAGACATTTACAGCCACCTTGTTTACAGGAGGGAATCTAAATTTCACATCAGTTTGTCACCCTGTAGTCTTTAAGATACTGCTCTAAGAGGTACCCCTGAGTCCCTTGGGTAAATCAGTGTCACCACATTAAAGATAAAACAGGATCATAATGATTCTAACTGCCTTCGTCATGAATCACAAACATATGAATAGGATGAGAGGGCACACTAGAGCATTCTAGCAGAATGAAACTCCAAGCGTGGAGTTTCCCTTTCTTTTTCACAGAATACTCTAAATTCTTCCAAATTAACTTCTCCTCATTTTATAGTGATATAAATAACAGAGGCTAGCAGGCCCTTTCTGCAAAGGGCCAGAGTCATTTTTTTTTTTAACGTTTGTGGGCCATATGCTTCCTTACCACCCCTTAACCCTCCTGCTGTACAGAGAAGGCAGCCAGCCTCGGCCCTGTAAACACATGAGCATGGCAGTGTTTCAATAAAACTTTACTTATAAAAACAAGTGACAGATGGGATTTGTCTGACAGGCTAGGGTTTGTTGATCCTGTGTGAAAACCAAATAGTTCCTTAATCTTTTTTTTTTTTTCTCTCACCCTGACCTCCTCTCTCCCTTCAAGACTAGGTATTAAATCTGGAGCCTTCCAACTGAAGTAGATCCTCAGCCCTTTTCAGATGTTTGGCTTCTGAGATAGGCACTCTCACTAAGTTGCCCAAGATGGCTTTAAACTTGTAATTCCTTTGCTTGGACCTCCCAAGTACCTAGGATGACAGGCAGGTACTACCAGGCCCAGCTGAAATGATCGTTTCTAAAAGGGAGACCATGATATACACTAAAGTCTAGCTGTTGCCTAGGACAGTGGTCTGGAACCATGAAGCGGCCACTGTGGGGTAATGGTGTAACTTCTAGAAACTGTAGGTGCCCCACAGGGCCGGAGCCACAGAAAGAGCTGGCTCAAGGACGCTCACACTGCTTGTCATCACTTCTCTCTCAGCTCAAGGTGCCAGGCCCCTTGTATGCGCCCCATGTTTTTCAGTCCCCAACTCCCACCCTTCAGGCTTAAGGAAAAGTGACAGCAGAAGAACCAAGAAACCTGAAGGTACCAAAGCTTTCGGTAAAGGATGAAGTCGCTTACATTGTATTCGAGGTGACGGGATGCAGGATGACTTGGGGCGCCCGGGTGGGTGTCTCCGGTACAGGCACCACATCTGCGAGGCAGAGATTACATTCTTAGAGATAAGACCTAGAACTCATGACCCTCAGCTCCCAAGAGGAAGCACAGCCAGCAACCCTGCCCTGTGCCATGGCTTCCAACGTTGGCCAGCATTCTTTCCCCCTGCTTCACCCGCCTGGGCTTTGCCTACTGAGATGGTCCAGCAATCTAGAGATCCTGAGCACACATCCTCACTGCAAAGGGAGCCAGACAGAGTACCAAACATCCACTGCCCGTCCCTGAATCCTCCTCACTCCTGAGTTCCCTTTGGGTCAAGGGGGCCACTCAGTTCACATCTCCAAAGGCCAACTCCAGTCCCTTTGACTAGGTAACCCTCTGGGCCTCCACTGTGCTGGGTACATTCTAGGGTCTCATGGTGCTCTTGGGATCTCCCACCCTTAGATTCTCCTCTTCCATGTCCATTGTTATCCTGGAGTATGGAGACCCCACTAGTCTCCTCTCCGCTCTTGACCTTTCTCTACCAGCCCTCGCAATCCCCAATCCTCCGACGGCCAATTGCCAGCACACTCACCTGGGAAGATGAACTGTTGCTTATATTTGTAGTAGTGGGAAGCTTGAAAAAAGCAGAGAACAGCAGCGTGAGCATCACCCAGGTACTGGCCAAGCCTCATTCCCATCACCACTACACAGCCATTTCCTGACAACCCCAAGACTGTCTACACTACAGCAGACACCCTGAATTATAATGGAGTAGGACCATGTGGGATGCAAACATTTGACATCTCACACTATAAAATCTGGCCACGCCCTCTCAAAGGCACAGTGACACACACACACACACACACACACACACACACACACACACACACACACCATGAAGACATAATCCAAAATAATCTTTGCTTCTATAGATCCTTTATGCAAATTTTCAGCATCAAACTTTGTATGGCTTTTGTTTTTCTTTTCACTGTGATAAAGTGACAATAAATGTCATGACTCCTGGCAGCACTAACAGATCCCTTTATAGTCTGGAGGCTGGATGAGTCTTAAAGGGCCACAGACATGCTGTATGATTTGGATTCCCTGGAGAATCCAATCCAATGTCTTTCAGGAGGCAGTTCTGTCTTCTCCAGCGAGCATGTTCAATAGAGAGTCTAGCTCTCTTCTTGCCCCCCGCCCCAGCAAGTGTCTCCTATATAATGTCACTTCCTGCTGACCTTCCTGCCTGCCCCTTATGGGATGGAATTCAGCATAATCCAGAATAATCTGTGCCCCTGAAAATCTGCGATTTAATCCCAGCCACCAAGATCCTTCTGTCTCAGCAGGTACAGACGTGGAGATTACTCCTAGCACCGTACCCCAAAAGAGCAAGTGGCAAATTAGAAACCTTTGCCATTGCTGTGTAGACCAGAGGCAAAGAAAGTTTTCAAGGGAATCAGCAAGTGAGGGCCAGGGTTAGGTTGTGCATATCTTTTCCCCTTTTATTTCACTCTTTCAGAGAGCAGGATTTTCCCCCACCAAGACATTTCCTGGACCCTATCTCTTCCTTCAGAGTTAGGGACTGCTGATGGCCACCTGAAGGACCCAGGTCTGATCCTGGAGCCTAGAAGCACTGAGTGTTTTCTCTGTTTATGTTCCTCATAAAACCCATGCAAACTTTTCCCTGTTCCAGTGTCCACAGGCAAAATGTATACAATACTAGTCCTGGGCCCAGGATTCTGGAACCATCACTCTAAATTCTGGAACATCAGAATTTACAGGAGTAAATTCTGAGTAAGGACATCTGGCAGGTTTAACTGATCTAGGACAGAAAATTTCTTTAACAAACTCTGCCTGTACCAACCACATGTACGTTTTTTTTTTTTCCTTGCTGTGAGTCTTTAAACAGCACATTAGAACCATTTACACAGCATTCACCCAGTGCTCAGCGCTTCACGTTACCCAAAGATAGTTTAGCATATGGGCGGATATGTGGAGACCATGTGCATGTTACACAAGGGCGTGAGCATCCTTGGACTGTGATATTCATGAGCCCTGGATCCACAGGATGAATGCATTAGCAAGTGATGAAAAATGGACTCTCAGCTCTCTTAACTAACAGACAAGAATGATTTAGAACCAAGAGACGGCCATATAGCTTCAAGCGCGAGACTGTTAGTGGGGGCCTGTGCAGATGAAACGCCCCCCTTGAGGCTGGCATTGATTTACAAGCTCCTGCAGGACAGAGAGTAAATCCCAGTGCCTCAGGATCCCTAGTGCCCACACAGCAGGTAGGAAACATATGTTGATGACTGACTGCAATCGCCTCTTTTTTTTTTTTTTTTTTTTTTTTTTTTTTATCAAAGATTAAAGACCGTAAGTTCTTGGCTTAGCCCACTTCCTAGTCTGAGATAGCCTTGGAATGCCAGTGGGGTTGTTTTGATTCCAGAACATAGGTACACAGACTGGGAAATAATTTGTTCCAGGTCACAAAGTACAGCTGTCCAACAAAAGGCAGCTCACAAATCCAGGAGCCTTGTTGGCTACACCAACCAATACAAATCTCATACACAGCCACCTTGTCAACAAAAGGCTAAAATTACAAAATGAGAAACTTCTGCATCTCAGCCCTCCCCAGCTCTGACTGCACCGAGAGACTCTTAACCCACAGTGAAGGTGGGATGCTGGTCAGGTTCTTTCAAGAAGTGAGAGGACCACGTGTTCAAGACCAGCCAGAAGAACATAGCAAGATCTTGGTTTCTGCTCCTTAATAAATGTTGCTCGTGTCCTAATTTTGGAGAATCATGACTAAATGGCCTTGTATGGCCAAAGGGCCTTTGAAGATAAATTTATATAGGTTTTTGATACAGGGGCTAGCCTGGGCTATATGAATGACCTCATTGTGATTCTATAGGTGATTGTAAGAGTGAAGTCAGGGGTCAAAGAGAGTCGGTCAAGACAGGTGATGAGAGAGGCCCAAGTAGAATGATAAATGGGTGTAAACACAGGAAGATGGGCAGCTGTCAGAAGCTGGGAAAACAAAAGGAAACAAACAAAAACAAGAAAATGGCCCCAAACCATAGCAACCAGGATAACCTGGGCTTACTAAGACATTAAGTTTTGTCCCTGCTCTGGGCTTCTAACCTGAGAAACAAAAGGTAACTTTGTGCTATTTAAGCTGTTCAGTTTGTAATCATTTGTTATAATGGTATTAGAACTCTAAAACAGAGATATAGCAGGTTGTTCATGATTCTACATTTAATGTCTGGTACACAGTTGATGCTCACTGGGTGCTTGCTAATGAAATCTATAGACTGATGCCCTCTGAAGGTCAAGAAGACAATTTGACCTAGGAAGTACACAGGATTTAAGTCATTACTTCATTCATTTAGTCACTTAACAAACATTGCACTATCCCATAAGTACTCTGTTTGCTCGTTTGGGGCATAAAATGTGTAATGCAGTCAAGTTTCCTGTTCTTATGGCATTGGTGTATGGGTGGAGAGGATAGACAGAGAGCAAGAAAAAAATGCCCATGGCCACGTAATGATGTGGCAGCAGGGTTCAAAGAGAGGATGTACTGAGATCGTGTGCAATCTCAGAAATCCTGCCAGCCCTTAGATGGTGACATGATGGTTATTACAGAGACTCAGAGCTGGTCAAAGTGCTGGCCACAAATGACCAGTGAGTATAGGACATCCATATCACCTCCGACACACACACACATACACACACTACATGCATACATGCACCTCACAATCACACCACACACACACACACACACACACACACACACAGAAAGAGAGAGAGAGAGAGAGAGAGAAGGAAGGAAAGACAGACAGAAAGAGAAAGAAATGAAAGAACTAAAAAGACAGAAGGTGGGAAAGAGTTTGATGAAATGCTGCCATCCAAACATGACGTTGCCCTGGCAACCATAAACACAGGACGGCCGTGGGTACTTGGACCAGATTGGGCCCCAACTCTCCCCCACAGGTAGAGGAGGTGCCCGTGAGCCCCTCCATTGGGCTCAGGAGGCTCTTCCTTTCCTGAGAAGCTGCTGCCTATGGTACCTGCTGGAGGAGGGCAGTATCTTTTTCTAATGGTGGGAAGAAGGGGTTCAGAGGGAAATAAGTTGGGATGCTAGAGTGTGATAGGGGTGGCTGTGCTAACCACACAGTCTATGTACCTATGAAACCAAAAACAGATAGGAAAAGAAATCTGGCTGTATCCACCAAAGATGGCTTTCTTTCTTGTCTCTCCTTTCCTAAGGCACCAGAACTTTATGTTTCCTGGAGTGGTGAGCATATGTGTAAGTGCATGAGTGAGTGTCTGCGTATGCTGTGTGCCGGGATGGTTCCGAAGGAAGAAGATACCTGGAAGCCGCACCTGAAAGTCCATGGGGACGCCATAGCCACTCAAAACAAAGCTGGGGCCCTAAGGCAGATTCAGCTGTGCTCAGGGACGCTCCCTGCTGACCTACACTGGGTTTGTCCACAGGGCAGGAAGGCTCAGGGAAGGATGGGAAGCACCGGTCAATCCAATGTGCCAGATGTGGCCACCAGCACCAGTCAGCACATGTCACACTTGGCTTATGTCACACTTGGCTTGCTAACACCTCATTCTCCTTGTGCTCTGGGCTCGCCAGGTGGGTTACCTCATGGCCCCGTTTGGACACCCCTGAATGCTCCGGATCAATCGGCTAGTGATACTGTTACATCCGACCATTAGCTTACATACTCAGAGAACCCAACATCTTACAGCCAGCCACACTCCAAGCTCCTTTCCTCATCTCCAGATGCTCAGAATCAAGAGTGTGGCCGGGAGCCAGATGCCTGCCACCTGGGAAGACCTGGAAGTTTGTATTTTGTTTTCCATTTCAGCATCACAATCCATCATTTGTACTCACCTACTCACACTCACTCCCCACCCTCCCTGGACTCTGCTAGTGGGGCACAGCAATAACAGTGGCTCTCCAGAAGCAGAGGTGGAGGATGGTGAGTTTGAGGCAAGGCTGGGCCACATACTGAGAGCTTGTCTCTAAATAAATAAATAAATAAATAAATAAATAAATAAATAAATAAATAAATCGAGCCAGAGTCTTCATGTGCTGGTGGTGTCAAATGGTGCAGCCACTCAGGGGAGAACCAGTCTTACGCTTTTCTTATGAAGTACATATGTGGGCAAGGGGTGGCACTCAGTCATACAGTGCCTGCTTCACGCACGAGGCCCTGGGTTCAGTCCCCAACGCTATAAACAAGAAAGCCAAAACCTATCTGCTCACTAGCAACAGCCATGAAGCGCCGGCCGACGTCACACTCGCAATGCAGAAACGCACGGAAATGATTCACAGTAAACAGAACGACGGTGTACCACTCGTTCTGCAAGTCGCTTGTTCTTACTGCTAAATGTCCTGGCACACTGGGAAATCTCTGCAGAGCGCCGAGTCCCTTCAAATGGCGGCAGAGCATCATTCCAGCGCATTCAGCCCTTCTCTTGACGGGCACGCGACATGATTTCAATTCTTCACTGTTGCAATGACTAATGTCCTTACACACAGATCCCGGTGTTCTTGGGTGAGAGTCAGAACAGAGATTCCTAGCAGTGACACTGCTGACTCCATTTGAAACGTCAACGGACAAACTAGCTTCCTCAGAAGCTAAGTCCAATAGTATTCGTGTGTGCAAGTGCCTGTGAGTGTGCATGTGTGCGTGCTTGGTGCGTGCACATGTATGTAGAAGCCAGAAGCTAGCCTGTAGGTGTCATCCCTCAGGATCTGTCCCCATTGTTTTATGAGACAGGGTGTCACTTCACCTAGACCTCAACAATTTGGCTAGGCTGGATGCCAGTGAGCCTCCGTGAGCCATCTGGCTCCACTTCTCCAGCGCTGGGATTCCAAGCATGTGTCACTATACCAGGACCCCGTGCTTGTACAGCGAGGACTTTCCCCACAGAACCGCCTCTCCAGCCCCTTCCCAGGTAGCATAGTGATGGAAACCTGCCTTAGGTAGCCTTCTTGGGCCCTATGGGCTTGTGTAGGCCCTGGAGGAGGCAGCAAGTCTTACTTAGCTCTGGCCCACTAGAAAGCATAAAAAGATCCAGTGTCTCTCACAAGTAGCTTTTCCACTATTCTCTCCAGGACTGGGATAAGAGACAGAGGTCAGAGGTCACAGAACTGGAGCAGGATAAACAGACATGAATCTTGAATCCAGGACCTCACACACTCCATTCTGAGAGCCATGTCGGGCACCTGGGTTGGGGCTTGAGAAGTAACCGTGCTCTCACATGTGTCCCTGAGATCCTGGGCACAGCAGCCTGCCACCCAATCTCAAACAATCTGTCTCACTGGACAACAGCCAACTCCACAGTAGGAGGCTCTACCTTGTGACTTAGCCAGGTAAAGACACTGGTTCGATGTTAAACAAAAGACACATCTCTAAGAGCCCCTGTGCCTCAGTTTCCTCATTTGTCAAGTAGAGTTGATGACTCCTACTTTACATTTCCTCTAATGATAAAATGTGGTATTGTATGACAATTGCCCCATGTATTGTGAACACATGTCTACACACCTCTCTTGACTCTATCTGATCACCAACCCATTGTTTTCAGGCAAGGGTTAGCCCCATCCTGGTTGGCTTTGGCCATGACCCAACTTCCTCCCTCCCACCTGTCTCCACAGCACAGAAGTACCTGGCAGGTTGAAGTTCTTTTTCTGTCTTGTGCACTGTGGGGAAGGGTGCAGGGGAGAAGGCGGCGTGGCGCTGGGAGGGAGAGGGGGTGCTGGTGAGGAGGGCGTGGAGGACGTCGTGGATGAAGGGTTGCTGCTGGAGTCTGGCTGGTAGGGGACAGGGATGTGGTCCTGTGGAAAGAAACACAGGGCAAGGGTCAGGGACAGGCGGGGAAGCAGAGACAGCAGACAGGATGAGCTGGGCAGGAAGGGGCTCCCAAGCCAGCTTGCTCAGCAATGGCTGCCCCTTCTGCAACTGTTAGATCCTTCCAGAGGCTAACCTAGTTCAGTGAGAGACCCTGTCTAAAAAAATAAGCTAGAAAGTGACAGAGGAAGACAAATGGTCAAGCTGTGACCTCCACAGGTATGTGGCCTCCAACACACACACACACACACACACACACACACACACACACACACACAGAGACAAACTACCTGAGCCAGTCAACTTAAGGAGGTTGTACCCGGATGCAGAGAGAAGTTTCTGGAGTCACGTTCCTGCTTGGTGCTTGAACTCCAGGCAGGAAAGGTTAGCACATAATGAAATCTGCAGAGGTGCCAGCCATGTACTCCGTGTCTCTTTGATCTGCAGGGGCCCCATGCCGAGATGCCCAGAGACTTGTCCCCACTCTGACACTTCTCCTCCCAAGTGTTTATTAAAGAATCAACAGCCTGACAGCTCCAGAGAGCGTGGGAGTGAGCCTTCAGCATCTTCCCCAGCATGCAGCTAGGGTCTGCGATGTCTGTCCTCTCCCCAGACCAGCTCTAAAGGAAGGGCAAAAGTGGACTCCTCAAGTGCATGTGCAGAATGGTCTTGTTAGGTGAATTTAAGAAAAGCAGGTCAGTGGGTTGAATGTGCCCTCCTGCAAGACATGTCACTCAGAAGCTTACACTCTAATCCCAGTTAGAACAAGGGTCATTGCAGATGTAACAAAGACAAAGAATTAAAGACAGACTGGGTCCTGACCCTACGGATGCATAGCCTCATGAGAGACAGAAAAGGGGAGATACTTAAAAAGAAGAGCATGAGAAGGCAGACACCGCGGTGATGCCACCAAACGTTAAGGGCTGCAGAAGCCACTGGAAGCTGGAAGAATCAGTGGGTCCTTCTTCCAAGCCTCGAGAGGGCACCTTTATAGCATAACAGTATGATTACTTCAACAGTGAGAAGTAATATTCTACTGTATAGATGTACCATAATGTGTGAACTTATCCCCCAGTCAGGAATATCTAAGTTGCTTCCTAGTTGGGGTTATTTTGTGTGGATGAGGATAAAGCTACTGTAAATATTTATAAAGAGGTTCGTGTGAACGTGGGTAGTTCTTTGGACTGGCTGCACTGTTTCACACCCTCATTCTACACTGAGCAGTTTTCTCTGTATCCTAGACAGTGCTTGGTGTCATCATTTCTTATTCTCTCGGGCATGAGATAATGGTGCATCGTGTTGCCTCAACAGTCAGCCATAGTAAGCACCTCTCCTGGGCTGCTCTGGAATTTTTGTTTGTTTGTTTGTTTGTTTGTTTTTATTAGAGTAGATATTTATTCAGTTTTGAAATTGGGTAGAATTTTTTTCTGTTTCCAGTTTTTTTTCTTTCATAAAAGCATTTTTGGTTATTTTAGTTACTTTGCCTTTTCATATTATCTTCAGAACAACAGTGTCTATGGCTAGAGAGATGGATCAGTGGTCAAGTGTGCACACTGCTCTCCTGGGAGACACAAGTTCAGTTCCCAGCACCACACCATAAGGCTCACAATGGCTGTAGCTCCTGCTCCAGGGAACCCAGTGCCCTCTTCTGGCCTCCTCAGGTACCTGCACTTATATGCACATATCCACCTCTACACAATTAAAATAATAAATCTTTAAAAACAAAGTCCCGGTGTCACTGGGGTCAGGGAGCCCACCTGACTTGAGGCCATCCTCCAAGCCTACTTTCAGAGAGCCCAGCTCCTTAAGGGTGACCTGCTATTGCATTTTTGCCTCTTGGCTATCCTTACAGCAGCTCACTGATGAGCTGGCTCTGTTCCTCGCAACAGCAATAAGCCAGCATGCCAGATCTTCCAAGCCCCTGATCACAGTAATAAGAGCCATCGTCTCTGCTGCCACTAAGGATGGTTGTTTTGATGCCCTGATATAGAGTACAAGGGTTGGAGACTGGTCCCTGAAAGAGCTGGTAGATACCATTGATATTGCTTGTCTGGCTTCTCTCCTCATCCTGTCTGTCTCTACCTCTCCCACCCCTCACCATCTCTTCCATTCCCTCTGTCTCCTTCCATCACTTCTGCTTCTATCTTTGTTTACTCTTTCTCATCATTTATTCCTTTCTCATTTCCATTTTCTTTCATCTTCTCTCTCTGCCTCTTCCTTCTACTCTCTCTCCTTCCTCCTCTGTTCATTCCAGTGCTCTGTTCCCCTTCCTCTTCCCTCACTCTCTTTTCTCCTCCCCGTCCTCCTTATTTTCTTTCCTTTTCCCCCTCCTCCCCTTACCCTTTTTCCTCCTCCTCCATTCCTGAGCATCTACTGTTGGACTAACTGCTTTACACATACTGCAATCCACTCCTCCCCAACACTGCCCCCATCACTCGTCCATTCTACAGAGGGGAAAACTAAGGCCAACAAACTTTGACTGGCCTCCTCACAAAGCCACAGCAAGTTGAGGAGCTGTGCTACAGACCCAGGATTTTTGACTCCCAAATCCACCTTCTGTCAACCTGCCAGGTGAGGAAGCAGGGCCACTGTGAAGTGGGATAGATCTGGCCAGACAGGGGATCCAACAAGAAATGAGAGCAGGAACCCCTCAAATCAAATTGGCTATGAAATCTGTTCACTAACCACATCACGCCTGACAGAAAGAACCTGCATGCAGCCAGTGAGACAAGAGGAGGAAAAAAAAATCCCAGTCTAACGAGAGAGCCTGTCCACCTCCATGGCAAAGCTGCTGTCTGTGCAGAGGCAAAGTCCTGTCCCTTTCCAAGAGCCCCTGCTGGCAGGCAAGCAGAACAATGTCACTATGGCTCATCTGTCTGATCCGTGGTTTTGTCCCATCTGACATCAGGAGGCTCCAGTGCTGGTTAAGCCAGACAGAAAGGTCTTGGAGTCACTTCTGGAGGAACATGCCAACTGAGGCCCTCAGCTGCCTCAGGGGTCCCTTTTAAGAGATCCTTTCCTTCCTTTCCTCCCTCCTTTCTTTCTTTTTTCCCTCTTTTCTTCCTCTCTGCAGATGGAAGCCAGAGTCTTGCACACACGAGCCAAATACGCATCCACTGAGACCAACCTTGAGACGTCTAGAAACAACTGAAGTAAAGGGGCCCCAGCTTGATGTTTTGTTCAAAGCCCTGAGATCAAAGGAAACACGTTACAATTCCATCTACCATGCACCAGGAATCACACAACACATTCTCAAATGCCATTTATTTAATGCTTCCTCCAGGGACAGCGCTCCAGGGTTGGTGTTCTTATCTGCCACTGTGAGCATCATTAAAGCAGGGACCCCAAACCTCTTCCCAGTGACAACTGGAGTCTACCTTGCCTGATGTCAAGCCCCACACCTGGGACTCCTTAGTTAAGAACTGTGGAAATGACATCTAATCATCACAGATGCCATGAAGCAGCCTCATTGGGAGGAAGCCCAGGCTGTGGGCGGTCATTCTGGCTGACCCCTCCCAACCCAGGCACCAAACATCAGAGTGAAGAAGGCTGTAAAACTGTGAAGCAGTTGATGGTAAACATTCTGGGCTTCTCAGCCACATAGCCCTTCTTGTGGCCCATCCACTGTGCTATTCCCACAGTATAAAAGTAGCAGCAGACAGTGGGTGCCGCTTGAGTTACACAGAAGCAGGTAGCGGGCTGAACCTTGACCAGTCATAGGGCTTTTCCCAAACGAGTCTCTGCATATTGCTAGGGCAAAGGCAAAATCACTACCACCCCAAAGACCACCCCGTGGTTTTCTGTCCCAAGTCCTATCCCCTAGCCCAAGGACTGTAAGCATAATACAAGGGTGGATATTATACAGTTTCAATTTGGGGGCAGTTCGCTGTGTAACAGACAGCTGGAACGTGGCCATTTTAAACAGAGGAAAACTCCATCCCAGAGAGATTAAGTCACTTGCTACAGTCTCACAGCCAACAAGGCTGGCTGCCAGTTTGCCCTGACCCCAGAACACAGGCTCACTCAAATGCTGGGATGATGTGACAAAGGAACCAGAAAGTGACTGCTCCAAGAACTGATAGCTGCGGGGAAAGCAGAACAAGACAGGGCTTTGGAGGGAAACACGGGAGGTCAGAGGCAGAGGGTGGGACCAAGTGACACACAGCCTTGAGGCTGCCCTAAACAGTGGGACTTGAGCTAAGTGTGATGGCACACACCTTCAATGCCAGACCGCAAGAGGCTGAGGCAAGACGATCTCAGGTTTATGACCAGCCCGAGCTATACAGTATCACCCCGTCTCAAAAGCAAAACAAACAAACAAGAACACAAAGGCACAAAAATAAAACAAAAAACACCCAAACATGTGAACCGGCGGGATGAAACTGTGGTTAAAGAGCTTGCTGTATAAGCAAGAGAATTCAGATACCCAGAATCCAGCTAAGTGCTGGATTACCAGTGGATCCTGCCTGTAATCCCATCCTCAGAGGACAAAGACAGGGAAACCTCTAGAGCAAACTGCCTAGCACTAGCCCTAGCATCAAGCTCTGGATTTGATTAAGAGCCCCATCCTTCGGTGAATAAGGTCTAAGAGCCAACAAGGATGTTCCTGACATCAGCCTGGGACCCCTACATGTACACTTATCACACGCGTGCACATGAACGCCCACAAATATGCAAAACCACAAACACACATGGTCAAAAAAAAAAGTTGCTTCCAGAAACCAACAAAAAAACCAGTAGCTGGGTTTTAGGCAGAATGGCTCCCTTTGAGTAACAGCCATGGAGACCCACTATGGCTATTGTGGAGACAGGGTGGGGAAAGGGGTCCTCCTCTCAGTGGCCAATACAGGGAAGTGAGGCCACACTTTGGAGGGGGTCCACTGTCTCCAAGATGCTCACCTGCAGCCTCCGAGTTGATGCCCTGCTTTATCCAGCTTCAACACAACACACAAAGGCTCTGTGGGCCTGGGAAACCACCTCTGATATACGTGAAACTGGCAACATAGAGTGATCTCGCCAGAAAGAAAGATGTGCGGAGAGCCACCTGTTAGTCATCTACCAGAGGGAAGAAACTGGCCTATCTGTCCCTCGGAGCTCCCAACAATCGCTACCCATCCATCCAATTCCCCACCAAAGATCTCCATGCCTTCGTTCAACAGGTGTTCAGAAAACCCACCGCCGTGTACACAGCTGCTCCAGCAGACGGGGCAGATGGGAAGCACCCCCGCCAGTGCAGCCAGGGTCTGAAGCACCACAGAAACGCCCTTTTTGTCATCTCCTCCCATCCCAGTTCCGTCCCCCTCCCCACACAGAGCCACGTGCATTCTGCCCTGAGTATCTCCTCAACCAATCACGGGATGTTTCCCCTCCGCCCCGTGAGCTTTACTGTATATAAACTACTCAGAAGCAACAAGAGTGCAGGAATATGAGTACCATGCCCTGGCTCAACCCTCTCCTCCTTCCCACCCACCATCTGGCCCCCACCCCTAACCCTGTAAAAGCTGCACCTTACCTTGTTGATTTTGTTGGTTTTGGGGAGCGTCTGGCTGATGTGTAGATCTGAGTATCGGGCTGGCTTCCGGACAGGGTTGTTGATGTCACAAGGGACCGACTCTGTTCGCACTAACCTTGCTGGGTCCGTAGGGGTGAAAGAGCAAAGACAGAATCTAAGCAGCACGTCAGCTTTGATCGTGTCAGGAGAGCCCAGCTCACATCCCACTCTGAAACCTACCAGCGACACTAGAAATGACAGCCATGCATCCCCATGACAGGTGGTCTGGGTGTCCTCTGTGGTTCTTACCCTCTTTGTGTCGTCTACCTAGCACACCTGTCAGCCCAACACTCAGGAAGTGGAGGATAGGAGTACATGTTCACGAGCCCATGGCCAGCCTGGGCTACATGAGACCCTGGCTTTTAAGATTTATTTTTTTTAAGATTTATTTATATGAGCATTGATGTTTTGCCTGCATGACTGTTTGTGCAAAGGTGCCAGATCCTTTGGAACCGGAGTAACAGACAGTCATGAGCTGCCATGGTGGATATTGGAAATTGAACCCAGGTCCTCTGGGAGAGCAGCCAGTGCTCTTAACCTCTGAGCTGTCTCTCTAGCTCTGAATCTCTCTCTCTCTCTCTCTCTCTCTCTCTCTCTCTCTCTGTAAATTCATGCAAGGTATCCTAACATATGTACTTGTTATATAGATGTGGGGGGTGTGTGTGTGTTGTAGTAACTGCAAATTGTCCGACTATATGTCCTCATTAGCGTAGATGTGTCTGTCACATGGGTGGGGTGTGCACGTGGGTATGAGTGTGGTGACCGGAGGTTCACATAAGGTCTACTTTTATTTTCTGAGCTGGGGTCTGCCACTCAACCTGAAAAGCTCATAGCCTGCGCTAGGCTAGCTAGCCAATGAGCTTCAGGGGTCAGCCTGCCCAGACTCCACCCCCAGCACCGGTGTTACAGGCGTGGCCTGTCATCCTGGCATTTTGACATGACCTCTGGGGATCTGAACTCATGTCCTCAGGCTTGCATGGCATGTACTAATTTACCAACTGAGCCATCACCGTTCCAGAAACTACGTATTTTTTTTCCAGACATTTCCTTTTTAAATTATGTATTCCCTCACACGAGTTTTTTGACAACAGAAATAGGAAGCAACTATTTTTCGTTTTTCCACCCTGTTGCTGTCACCCACTGCTGGCCCCTTTTCACTTCGGCCTTGAACTTTACTTGCAATACAGAAGACCCCTGATTCCTCAAGGCCTACAATTAACACACAAGTCACGATGGACACCCGTCTCTGAGCTTCTAACTGTGTGCTAGGATGCTTTTTGTTATGTATGGAGTTTGTTGGGACTAAGACAAACTGTTACACACACTGGACCACATTTGTCCCAAATAACTATGGATCCCTACAATAATGGCCCAGTTCCTTTGGCCTTCCACCCCCCCCCCCACTCCCACCTCTGGGCATTGCTAAATAACTGCTTCCTGGTAGGGGAGGCGGTCTCCACCCTTAAGCGCCTGTCTCTCATTAGTTGCGTGACTCGTGGGGAGCACAGTGTGCTACGGTACCGAGTACAAGTTCAGAGTTGCCTGCCTACCACCTTTCCTTGTTAGCTGTGTTTTTGTTGGGGGGAGGAGTTGTGGAGTTAAAGCTTCACATTGACCCAGGGATTTAATTTCTCTGCTTAGCCTGAGCTGCCATTACCATGGAAACAGACTCTATTTTCAACTTCCCACCAACAGGGAGGTGGGGAAAATGCAAGAAGCCAGTGGACTTCTTCAGTAAAGTTCTCTTTGAGTCACTTGTAAGACACCAGCCCTCCTGGCGCCCAGGAGCTTGGCCTGGAAGGTGGGTGGGAGGAGGGAAGAGGCCTTCTCCAAATACCAGACTCTGAGGGAGGCTCACCTTCCTGCAACCTGGGTCCCGACTTCCTGTGGGAGTTAGCCTTCCCAGCACCCACTAGGGAGCAAGCTTCTGTGGGAGGCAAATTCCCTAGTGAGTTTGACTTCAGACAGGGGCTCAAGAGCTGTGTGAACTCTATTTTGAAGGTTTCAAAATAGCCATGCTAGGTGTATTAAGGAAGAGGCAGGAGCGAAGAGCCAAACGCTATTCATGGAGACCCAAGGTGAGAAAACACATCAAAAACCAACCGCCTGTGACAGCTCTGAACTTGCTTTAGGGGAAAACTCATTTTTTTTTTTTCGCCTAAAGCTTCTCTTAGGTTCATTCTCAAACTGGGTGGGTACTCCCAGGAAATATCTGAGCTAAGCAATGTCAGGGGAGGTGGAAGGATGGAGAAGGAAGATTCAGCCTTGGTTTAACAAGTCTCTGTGTCTTCCATCCAACCTAGAGCTGGGAGCGCTGGCTGGCAGCTAGTCAGGAAACCACCAACATGTGGTGGGAAGCCTAAGGCACGTCGAGCCATGCAGGCTTCTGCTTGGAAGGTCACAAACGCACCTTCAAGCAGGTGCCTGGCTACCTGCTGTGGTGCCCACCCTCTCTGGACAGTACCTGCCAGCACTTTCCAGTCTGCCGGGCCTCATTTGACCAACTTCTCTCATTCAGGATGTTTGCTTGGCCCTTATCAGTGTGTGAGTTTTATAGAACTTTTGCTTATGAATAATGATTCCTGCTTTGGGCGTGTACAGGAACCCCCACCATATCCAACTTTAAAAGGTGGACTCTCGTTCAGCATTTCTGGGGCAGGCCCAGGAAGTGTTGGGTTCACACATGCATGGGCCACACTTTCCTTAGGCAGAGTAAAGGGTAGTGTGGGTGTTGTTTTAGGAAAGGAGCGGACATGGGATTGCCCTGTAGGAAAGCGCTTTATTGGGAGAGGGTAGTCTCTAACCATGGGAGCCATGACTGGAAAAGCTTCATTCCTTTAATGATGTGACCCCGGGTAGATTGGCATCATCCCAGGACAATGCCAAGACTAGCTGGGCAACGCAAACTGGACTCAGTGGGGGAAAGCAAAAGAAAAGAAGAAAGAAGATCTCAAAGTTGGGTGGGGAGGGATGGGAGGGTGGTGGTGGAGGGAGCTGGGGAGGGTGAATATGTTCAAAATACATGGTATGAGATGCTCAAATAATTAATAAAATTATTGTAGGGAGAGAGAACTAGATAGCCAACAAACCTACTTAAAGGAAAAGAGACATATATGGCTGTCACAGACAGGATGACAAGGTGTGTGGGGGTGGGGCAGAGAAGGAGCCTTCAGAAAAATTCCCAAACAAAGGAAAATATCTGACTTTAACTTCCTGTTGGGGGTGGCCGGAAGGTCCACATCATATGGGACTTTAGTCTGGGATAGCCTGCATGACAAGGACAATGGGGGAGCCAGGTACAGAAAAGAACCATAAGTTAGAGGTTGTGAAAGCCACAGCACTGATCCTTATTATCTGCCCCCACCACCCCAAAAAGAGAGGGCAGCAGGAAGCTCACGGCCTGAGCTCTTCAGACTGCAACCATTTACACAGATTTCTGATCTCACAAAAGGGAGCAGCAGCAGCAGGAGAGGTCTCTGCTGTGGTGGCATTGCCCTGTCCCTGTGCCACCATCCACTGCAGCAGCCACACGTGGCTCCTGAGCCCTGGGGTATGGCTGGTGACAACGAGTAACAGATCGTGTGTTTTTAGTGCATTCTCATTAATCTCAAGTTAAATAGTCGGATGTGGCTAACAGCTACTAATCCGACAGCCCAGACTTAAGAAACTGCCCTGGGGATGGCTCATGAGGGTCTGGGAGTAATGGATCCATGAAACAGAAAATTTAAGCAATTATTTGACAAACTGGGCTATCAGACCTTATGAAGGGTTGTTGTCTCCTACCAATTCCGTGGCAGAGAGCACAACACTTTTCTTCCCAGCTGAATGGGTCTGGTTGGGCACTGTGAAGGGCTGCCAGCTTGGTGAGGTTGGCCCTAGGATCTCAAAGCATGGGATACAGATAGCCTATAACAACTGCCCCGGGGCCAGTCTCCTCCCCAAGGCCACTTCTGCAGGACCAACTGAGTGAGCCTGGGTCACACAATGGAAAAGACCCAGCCATTCTTTTTGGAATGTGAAGGAAAAGTGATAGAGTGGAAATACAAAAATAGAGTAGAAATTAAGACCAGAGACAAAGAGCCAGGGGGAAGTGGGTACTAAAATATCCGAAGGACCAGTGGAAAAGCAAGAAATAGGGATGACCAGAGTGCAGAATGGGCAAGGGACATAGCAGGAAGGAAGAGGGCATCGGGAGGAAAGAAATCAGGTGGGCAAGGATCTAGGGATCAGGAAGTTATCTAGGAATCATGCTGGCCTGGGATGCATGAGCTCCTGAGCCCACCACAGGGAAGCAAGTGTTAAATACTTACCTCCTCTATGGATGATCAGGAGATGACAGGGGGGGGCTTCTTTGGTGCATTTGTTGTGGCACTTTAACCTGAAAGACAGAGAGAAAGAAAGATGGATGGGTTAACTGCATGGATGGATGGATGGGTATTTGGGTGGTTGGGTAGATGGATGGATGGCTTGGTGGACAGATGGGTAGATGGGCAGGTGGACAGATGGATGGGTGGATGGATTAATAAAATAGGTGGGTGGATGAAGTGGATGGACAGGCTGAATGGATACTTCGTGGAGAGATAGAAATATGGATGCTTGGACACACAAAGCGGTGAACTGGTAAATGGATGGATGGTTGGTGGATGGAAGGACTGCTGCATGGATGAGTGACAAATAAATGGACAGGATGGATATAAATATGGATGAGTAGATGATAGAAGGACAGGAGGATGAATGAGCTAGCAGATGGATGTATGGATAGATTGACAACAGACCAATAGAGTAGATGAATATACATATAGATATATGGAGGACAAATGGATGTATAAACTGGTAGATAGATGGATGCAATGAGGAAGGGGTGGAAGGATGAAGGGAGGATGTTTAATGGATTGATGGGTGGAGGAATAAGTAGACAGAGAAATGAGATGGCCCAGTGGACGAGAAGGCTCCAGACACCATGGACAGCGAAATATGAAAGGTGACCGGAGGAAACAACCACAAAAGCTGATCCTTGGCAACCCAGATCGTAACTCTGGAAAGAAGCTGCCAACTGTGACTCTTCCAGCTCTGCCCTGGTTGTCTGTGTAAGCAGCAACTGTTTTACTAACAATATCCATGTTAACCTCATGCTTAGGATAATGGCCATATTCAGCAGCAGCAGCAGCATTGTCATCAAAAGCAACACCCCAATCTTAATCATCATTACCAAGTACTCAAAGACTCATTCGCCAGCCACTGTGCTAAACCTTTTCCATACACTGTCTCATTTGAATCTTACAACTGTAAGAAATAGCTACTATTATATTCCCGCTCTCTAGGTGGGGAAATTGAGACAAACTGACATGCCCCGGACAAAGCCACTGTCCCATAGGTAGTATCCAATCTATCCTAAAACCTAAAGCTCTTGGGAGGCATCGAAACAAAGCTTCCCTTTAGGATGCAAATATCAGCAGACATTCAAGAGCAAGAAGACAAGTGAATTTCTTTTAGACAAACCTGAGGTATCACCTCGCTTGCCCACCACATTGCCTGACTTCCCAAAGGATAATACCACCCCTCCCCCAAGTCACCGAAGCTGACTTCACTTAATGCAGACAGGATGAACATCCTGTGCAAGATAGTGCATAAGCTCCATCCAGGCCCTCTGGATTCCCCTGACATTTTGTGCATCTCAGACAAACTGCCAATAGTTAACATTTTTGCCAGGTGACTGCCCTTGGGATTGAACATAAGTTCCACCCACCACACAGAGGGTAGAGTATGTTCCTTCCCTCTGAAGCCCTGACTGTCCTCTCTACAGACACAGATCAGACCATGGGTCCTAGTCCAGTGTTTCTCGACACAGCATTCCCCACCCACACAACATCAGTACTTTCTGGGAACTTCTCTGGATTCTCTGCAGAGCTGGCATCTCGGAGGCTAGGCTAGTGCAAGCCCTGAAGTGACCCAGATGTGTATGACACTGGAGAACCACTGGTTTGCTTGCTGTATATGTCTACACTTGTTTCCCCATTGTTTTTTTGCCATCATTCCTGGCTCTGAGAGGAGCCCTGGATTCATCTCTGATATGGAGACTTTATACCCGGGGCCCTCAAGCATGCAGAGGACAGGCCAGGAGGAACCTGGGTAGTTCCAGACAATCAAGAAGCTGCACACTCCCTTTCCATCTGAATATGCCGAGGAGAAGGTCTTCAAATGCTCACCCAGTCCCACATGCAGACAGACAATGGACATTGCCACGAGGGACCCAATCACTGTCTTCTTCCATCTGTTTTCAGCTCACCTTATGTGATACTGTTTTTCCATTCACAGTAAAGAGGTGTTTTCATCTCTAAATAAACTCAGCGCTATGGCTTGAGTCTAAAGTGTCCCCAAGAGGCTCATGGGGAACATTTTGAACATTTGGCTCCCTAGCTGGGATGCTAGTTTGAAGGCTGTGGTACTTTTAAGAGGTAGGACCTGGATGATGGGAGCAGGTCACTAAGAAGTAGGCTTGGGAGATCATGCCCACCCTGGGTCCAGACTGTTTTTCTACTTTCTGGTTCTTGTCTCCTGAATATGCCACTCTGCAAGCTCTCTCCCTGTCTTCCCTGCCATGATGAATGAAACCCAGAAACCGTAAATCAAAATGAATCTCTCTTCCCTTGAGTTGCCCTCACCACTGACAAGAGAACACAATACACTTTAGCCCAAAAGACAATAAGGTCAGGCATGGTGACATATACCTGTAAGGCCAGCACTCAGAAGGCTGGGATCATTGCAGGTTTGAGGTCAGCCTGGGACACATTCTGAGTTCCACTACTTAGCAAGGATTATATGATACCATGCTTGTAAAGTGTTATACAAAATACCTGCAATGGAGTGACTTTCAGTAAGTTATATTACCATAGTCACCATCACCACCATCATCACTACCATCATTACTCCATCAACACCATCTCATCACCACCATCATCTTCATCACAACCATCACCATCATCACCTCCATCACCATAATCATTACCATCACCACCATCACCATCATCACTACCATCACTACTATCATCATCATCACCACCATCACCACCATTCCTCCATCACCATCATCACGACCACCACCACCAATACCATTACCACTATTGCCACATCATTATCACCGTCACCGTCATCTCTGCTATCACCATTATCATCCCTACCATCCCCACTGTCACCCACATCATCCCCATCATCATGCCCACCAGCATCCAGCATCCCTACCATCTCCACCATCCCCCACCACCCATACCATCATATCATCACCACATCCAGTCCCCACATCAGCTTCTGAGAGACTCATGATCACCCCTCACACAGCAGCATAATCAGACCCAGCGATTTACTGATGATAGCGAAAAGATGCACACAAGGGACGATTAATTCCCAGGATGGTTTTTACAAGAAGCGAAGTGTTTCTATTCGTGGAAAAGCGAGCTCGGGCTTCAAGCGGGTGATCTCTAAAACGCATGCTCATAATTATATCCTGCCAACATCCTGCCTGGTGGGCAGCCTCCCGGGCCTCCAGGAACTTCACGGCAGCTGCGGCAGCTGCACCCGTCCTTTCTCTAGTTTCACTCAACTGGAGCTCAGAGAGCTCAACTCTAGTGCAACTGCCTGTTGCACCTAGCAGGGACTCCCCACTCACACTCCCGTTGCTCCGCATTTCCTCTCTGTCTTACTCTGTGATGACATCTCCAGCCTGCATCACTTATCTGTTACCATGTGGGCTGCCTCTCCCCTCAAACACAGGACTTCATCCGCCGGCGCGCACTGTTTTCAGCTCAGCTTATTAAGACCTGTGGAGTCATCAGGGTTTGATCCGGAACTAGAACACAGACCCTCCCCCTAGGTCAGAGAATTTGAAAGGGCCAGCAGAGAAAGGGTCAAGTCAGACTGGTGGAAATCTGGTGAACCGGAGACCGGTGGGAGCCTGGGGACAGCCCAGGCCTGTTTCCAAAAGGAGCATTTTGACTCTTATCCCTGTTTCCGGGACAGAAAGTCAGGAGACCTAGCACGCAAGGGCCGAACTCCAGCCTTAGCTGCTCACTGGCCCTGTGACTCTGGCTGAGCCTCAGTTTCCCACTCTGTGAGACGGGGCACTCGTCATTGCTACTGCTTAGGGCCATCGATGAGACCAAAGTGACCAAGTAAAGTACCCAGAACATCACCTCATGCACTGCATTTGGTCACCCCTCTCCTTGAGGGACAAACTACCTGAGAGGGACAGCTTACAGAGGGAGAGTTTGTACTGGATCTGTTCTAAGGGCACACTCGAGCATTCTGGGGGAGACATGGCAGGAGACTCAGAGAGCTGTCACATGGCATCCACAGCTATCCACAGAGAGAGGTGAATGCCAGGGCTCAGCTCACGTTCCTGTCCGTGTTCACTCCATAACCCCATCTCGTAGGATGCACCATCTACATCCAGGGTGGGCCTTCCCCACCTCAGTTAGACCTTTCTGGAAACACCCACGGAGATGCAGCCAGAGACGGTGTGTTTCCAGGCTATGAAATCCAGTCAAGTTGACAATTAAACTAAGCCGCCACAGCTCTGGTTGCTTTGAGGGTCTCGGCTTGTGAATCTGCCAGTCATACCCGCCATTTAATGGCTTTCAACTACCCCCGTCTTCCTGATTTAAGCTCCGCCTACGCTTTATGACGACTCCTGATTAGCAAAGTCAACTGTTCCTAACCTGCACTATTATCGTTTAAACACAGGTCTAGTTTTCACAGCTGTATGCTAAATCATGCATACGATAGCTCGTGCTCTGACATTTCTGTACACGTATACAAAAAGCAATGCTTGCATCAGGGTTTCTGGCTCATCCTGTATTTTGGATAGTATTTGGAGAGCTCTCTATCACTATTGCTACAGACAGGGAAACTGAGGCCTCAGAAGTAGATGCCTGGCACAGAACATCACAGAAGGTAGATCAGTTGTCAAAACACAGGCCTCTATGATTCAAGACCAGATGCTTAACTGGCTAGTTTGCAAGGGCAAGGGCTGGCCACGCGGTAGGACCACAGCCACTCCTGACTACCCCCTGCTTCCCTGTGAACTTCCCACACATAGCGGAGTGTGAGAACCACAGGCCGGAGCCTTTTTCACTGCCTTGGTGACCCACGTGCCACTCTTCCCTCATGCATCATTTCTGGAAGTGGACGGTGCCAGTGAGCCTTTCTTTGGGTTGTGAGGTTCTGCTCCTTTGCAAGCTGGGGGAGAGGCACACACACACACACACACACACACACACACACACACACACACCTCTAAGAAGTCATGAGTCTACCCTTCCTCTCCCTCATTCTCTCATGAAGAGAAGAGCACTAAAGTGCCATCATGGTATCCCTGGGTCTTCA